AAAAAAAAAAAAAAAAAAAAAAGTTCACATTCCAATAAAATCCAGTTTCAACGACATTTTTAGTAACAGATTAAAAAATTCTAATAGAACCTTTCAAACAATGTGGCGATGGCATATGACAGGCAATGGCATTTGACAAATTATCACACGCCTATTTAAAATTTCCCTCTTTCTTAGAGGATCCGTAAGCAATCTCTGTTATGTTAGTCATTGTCAACTCAATATATACAACTTTTCTCAAAATAATAATAATAAGAAATAAATAAACTCAATATAGACAACTGATTGCATGAAGCTCAAGACAATTAAATTAGTTTAATTCATCTCTCACTCGTCTTTTATGTAGAAAGGAGGATAAATGATTGGCACATGGAGGACAGAAGATTTGGAGTTTGATTATTCAAACTGTGAGGTATTGTTTTCTCTATGTTCAAACCCAGCCAACCTGTCTCTCCATTTCATCCTAATTTGGCTCTCCTTCCCTATATAACCAAACCTGAAGTAGCTTGCTTAGCCTCATCAAAGCAAGAACCTGCTCTTCTAATGGAGAAGAGTTTTGGGGTGTTGTTTTTTCTTCTCTTCTTTTCACTCTCTTCTCCAGCCTTCTCCAAGCATGCCTCTAATGGCATAGATTGGTGGTGCAGCAAAACCACGTACCCTGAGACCTGCAAGTATTTCTTCAACCATGGCAGCAATGCTGCTCCCAAAGATATGTCTGAGTTCAAGAAAATGGTGACCAAATTCGCCATGGAGAGAGCTTTGAGAGCCGAGAGCCATGCTAAGGGTGTTGGTTCCAAGTGCCGAAATGAGAAGGAAAAGGCTGCTTGGGCTGATTGCTTGGAGCTCTACCAAAACACCATCCTTCAGCTCAACCACACTCTAGATTCCTCCTCTAAATGTACTGAGTTTGATATCCAAACCTGGCTCAGTACCGCCCTAACCAACCTTGAAACGTGCTACACCGGGTTTGCTGAGTTTAATGTTTCGGACCATGTATTGCCGCTGATCATGTCGAACAATGTCACAAAGCTGATAAGCAACAGCTTGGCGATTAACAATGCTTCAGCTTGGCCGGGGAAAGAGACTTATAAAGAGGGTTTTCCAAGTTGGCTTTTAGGTGGCGACAGGAGGCTACTGCAGTCATCTTCAGTAAAGACAGACCTTGTCGTGGCTCAGGACGGATCCGGTGACCATAGGACAGTTGGAGCGGCTCTAGAGGCAGCTGCAAAAAGGAAGACAGGTGGAAGATTTGTTATACATGTAAAGAGAGGGGTTTACGAAGAAAACCTCGAGATAGGAAATAAGATGAAGAATATAATGCTCGTCGGAGATGGAATGAGATTTACCATCATTACTGGTAGTCGAAGTGTTAGAGGAGGCTCCACCACTTTCCATTCTGCTACTGTTGGTAAGTCCCTCTCCCTCTCTTTGTGTTGACTGTTTATAAGGTCATTTACCTCCATTTCAACAACATTTGAATCGGTAAACCTGTAGATTTTACTAATTCCAAGTCCATCAACCCTATTAGCAGATTTGTCATCAAGAAAGTAAACACTAGACAAAATTTCTTGCGCCCCAAAACATGATACTTTGAATTTTCTCCCACAGCCCATTTCCAAACAAAAATATTAGTTTTCAAAGGTAGAGTCATCTGTGATCAACATCTTTGTCAAGATCTCAATATAAAAAATGAAAAATTGTCCATGGCATTTCATCATAAATGCATCATCGAAGTATACAAGAAATGACCATCAAATGTCAATTAATTATATGCATTTCACATGTTCTAAAAAAATTTATATCAAGAAAATGTGAGATCAAATTCACCTCTTTCATTTTGTTTTTTCATAAAACTCCTCCAAATTCACCTCTTTCATTTGGTTTTTCCATAAAACTCCTCAAATATATGAATTTTTTCATAAGACCAATCATGTGAAAAGTATCCGATTAAAATGAGATACTTACTTGTCTTCTATGATAATTAGCGGTGACTGGTGAAGGATTTATAGCTCGTGGTATCACATTCCGAAACACTGCTGGTCCTGAAAACCATCAAGCAGTTGCTCTCCGATCTGGCGCTGATTTTTCTGTCTTCTACCGCTGTGGCTTTGAAGGGTATCAGGATACCCTCTATGTCCATTCACAGAGACAATTCTATAAAGAGTGTTATATTTATGGCACGGTAGATTTTATATTCGGCAATGCTGCAGTTGTTCTACAGAACTGCATGATTTATGCAAGGAGGCCAATGAATGGTCAGAAGAATGCAGTCACTGCTCAAGGACGGACTGATCCAAACCAAAATACTGGCATTTCGATCCACAACTCGCGTGTCATGGCCACAGATGACCTAAAACAAGTGGAGAGCACAGTGAAAACCTACTTGGGAAGGCCGTGGAAGGAGTATTCTCGAACAGTTTTCATGCAAACTTACCTCGATAGTTTGGTTGATCCAGCAGGTTGGTTGGAGTGGGATGGTGAATTTGCACTGAATACTTTATATTATGGAGAGTATAAGAACATGGGTCCTGGTTCATCAACAAGCCAGAGAGTGAAGTGGAGGGGTTACCACATTGTAACCAATTCAACAGAGGCATCAAAGTTCACCGTTCAAAATTTCATTGCAGGGCAGTCATGGCTGCCAGGCACAGAAGTCCCATTTACTCCTGGACTCTAAAAGAAAGATTTTCCTCATTCTTCCCGCAAAATAAACGTAGCCAAATCATTTAATTCTTTAATGTGTATGCAATTTTAGAAATTCAAAGTTGAGCCATAATCTCAAACAAAAAAAAATTATAAGGAGTTTAATGCCATCCAAAAATTCAGGATATTTATACAAAGATGACTGCAACAGCTCTAAAACCCTCTTTCTTACAACGAATCAATCCCCAAATAAATCACAGAAATTCATGAAAAACCATGCATTGGATCAGGAAATTAAAAAATCGGAAGAAATAAACATACGGAGCTCCAGGATTCGGGAAGGAGGTGGGATGTGAAAGAACGACGAGCCGACGAACGGATGAGCATGACGCCATCGAAGAACCATTTGGAGCTATGTGACGCAGACAGTTACACTGTATCTCAAACTCTGTATGTGATGTGTGTTGTGCAGTAAATGAGAGCTGGTTTAGAGCTGGTAATTGGAGGATACCAAATTGACGACGATATGATAAACCCTGTAGAAACCATAATTTGAAGGCGAAAGTCTAGTAGGAAGAAGGAGAATTCAGAACCGCTCGGATTTTTGGGGTTTCGGAATCCATGGAAGCACCTCTAGCAAGAGTGAGCGAGCGTGTCTCAGAGAAGAACTGGGAGCTTGATTTCGAGCCCAAAGCAAATTGGTCCGGATAGGAAAATGGAGCAAGCCCAATGGGCTATTCTGATCTTCGGTATCCAAATTGTAGTTTAAAACAAAGCCCAATGGGCCCACCTAAAACAAAAACTTATTGGGCCAACTGCATAATGGAGATCCAAGATTATAAAAGTGATTGTTAAATATAAATAAAATTTTGTTTAATAACACAAAACTGATCATAACATAAAAGTAAWTTTAGTCTCATTTGTGGACAAGAAATATTGTCATTGTCATTACTTGGAATTCCAACGCAATTAATAATATTGATGACGTCATAAATAAGGGAACCACAACTACAAAATGGGCATAATATGTAAAATTGATTATGTAATTTTCTAATGATTTAAGATATTAGCACTTTTGAAAGCTTTGTTTGGTTCTGGATTATGATTCATAAAATCGCAATTATAATTGGTATTATGATTTTGAAGGTGACCTATAAACCAAAATGTAATCATTTGATCTCTCTATTTATGTCATTATTTTAACTTTAGGTAACAAATCCCATTTCATTAATTTGACAGCAACTATATATTAGATTTGGATTAACTTAATTGTCTACCTCATTAATTACTTCAAAAGTCAACACTATTGATTTTATTTATAAATTTCAATTTTATTAATTGACATCTACATATATTTTTTATCTAATAAAAAATATTTTTAGATATGTCATCACGTTTTTTTATATATAGCATATTGTATGATTTTTTAAAACATAATAGGTAAATATTTTTTAAAAAATATAATATATAAAAGTGAAGATTCATATTTTATATTTAAGTACTAATACTTTCTCTAAGTTAATTTATAGTTTACATTTTTTATTTTTTAAATTTAAAAATGTGCTCATGTCACTTTTTTTTAGTGATAGATATATTTTTTTTAAGAAGAGTTGGTAAATTGTCCTCTCTTTTTCTCTCTCCATATCTCAATAATATTTTTTTCTCTCCTTATGGCAACAATATTTTAATGTTTGTACTCAAGAAAATAATATTTTAATGTAATTCATTTGCTTTAAAAAAAAAAAGAATAAAAAATTGCATAGAAGGGCCTATCACCGTATACTGTACTCTTAGTTTGAGTATTCCATACTCATAAAATACATACTTTCCTATATTTATACTCTTCCTTTTTTTTAATTTCCCAAATTACCCCTATCACGTCACTCGAGTTTTATAAATTAAAATCAATCTGTATTGGCTTATTATTTAGCACGGCATAATTTGATAATTATAAATGTTAAATAAATTGCAGGATAATAAAGACGCTATTTTGAAATTATAGTTTGATTGGCTTCACCGAATTCATGAAATTATCTTCTTAAATTAGAATTTTTTTAAAATAAAATAATTTTCTTAGTTAAAAATGTCAAATTTTAGTTTAATAACATTGAAAAATTAAATCATCTAAATACTAATGTTATTGTTTGACTTGAATTGAGCACTAATTATTGGTCTAAATAAACTTTTAGATCCTATTATAATTAACTTGATTGAATATTTTTGTTTGAAATTACTACACACCTAAAAAGGAATGTTGAGTAAATATATATGACTTGTATATTTTAACTAAATTTTGCAATCTAATAATTAGACTGTGATAAATCTTCTAAACATTTTTATTAGTACGTGTTAGGATAATAAAGATAAATTTTTAAGTGAACGAGGATTAACGTGCAARTAAAAAGTTTGGAAGACAATAAGGAAAAATGTTTGATTTATAAGTTGAGTTTATATACAAATTTGAGACATTATTACCTTTTTTTAGTCCCAAACTACGAAATACTAATTTCATGAACCCACTTAAATTTTGGACTTGTCTCTTAGACTACACATTAATCTTTTAAAACATAAATTATATGAACGAATCATACTTTTATAAATTGATTCATTCCTCCACGTTATCTAATATGAGAATATTCAAACCAAAACTAATAACCACAAATCATATATTATGAATTTAAGTTCATATATCCATTCACCACAAAGCCACAACAAAATACAAAATCAGGAGAGATTGTTTGTACATGTGGATGGAACCTTGTTAATCTTGTAGGAGCAAAAGTTGAGAAAAGGAGTCTCACGTGAACATAAAGGAGAAAAACTAACTGGTATTATCGAACCACGTAGACCAAAATATATATTTTAGAAGTATATAAGAATCGCTAAGAAAATCATTGATAGTTGAATTAGTTGCGTATTAGTTTTCTATCTGTCATTTTATGTTATATTGGTTGCGTATATTGTTAACTTAAATCACTTTAGCAGTGGGTCTATATAACTCGTTGTCTTCTTTGTCTATAATTATCGACTTAATGAAAATTTCTTTTATGAACATTTCCCGAGCTCTCCTATTATCTTTTATAATTTAATTGGGAGTAATATGAATAAAAGTTAAAAATACATAGAGATTTAAAAGTGTATAAATAAAAAAATACATAAACCAAAATATAATTTAAATCTTTATATATTTTTTTACTTAATTTAACAGCTGAAAAAATTGCATAATTTATTTTAAAAAAGGGAAAAAATAAAAAAAAATTGCATAGTTTTTAAAACGTCGAGGAGGAGGAGGATGATGATGATGGGCGGAAAATAGGTGATGTCATGGTGGGTCCGAAAGAGTATTGGAGAAGTTGAATTCCTATTGGTGGAGGGCAAATTCAGCCATCCAAGAGATGCCACGTCAGAAAAAGGCCCGCCCGAAATGTCATGCACGGAAACTCATGATGCTCATAGCTCTCATCATTTGTACCGTGGGACCGTCCCCATTAGATCGCAACCCCACGCTACCCAAAAAGTCCGTTTTGTACTTGGGTCATTTTTTATTGTGTTTTTTTTTCTCTCTTTCTTTCTAATATTATTTGTTCATAAGTGTGATATGATAATTAATTGATTCAAATCCTTTTCTATTTTAATTAAATATTTTGCTAACTTTTTAAACTTCAAATTTACTTTCATTAAACAAGTTATTCCCTACTCTTTTATTTTTATTTTTATTTTTAACCAGAAATATCAAATCATTTTTATCATTTTTTATTAATAATTTCAAATAAACCACATGCCAATACAAACAAAATTTAGAAGGGATAACCAGGCCTAATTAATATATATTTTGTGTTAGCTTAAACCCTCAAGCTTCCTTTGCACTTGCTTATGTTAGTATACTATTGATTATAGTTTATATTGAAATATTACCATTGTATGTCAGATAGGAAAATATTAATTTCAAATTTAAACTTGACAATGTGTATTAATTTGAACCCTTACCATGTGTTGTAATTTTTATTGGATAGATTTTCATTTGAAAGTTGAAAAAAAATTTCTTTGTGTGTCAAGTGATAAAATTTTTTTATATGAAATAATCAATGGAATTAAAAAAAAAAACCGACAGTAAAGTTGTAAAACGACATTAGAATTGGCCTTTTTAACTTAAAAAAAGTGCTAAAAATAAAAATATAAATATAAAATATAGGTGGGAGGAAAACCCACCTGGGCAAACAAAATTTTTTTTATTATGTAAAATACTATATTATATTTAAGTAAAATTTAGGGAGACACATGCCCTGATTTCAACTAAACTTTCCTAATGACACGTTAGTAGTAAATATAAGTGTTAAGTTATTAGTCCAGTCACTAAATTTTTATAGCCTTGTTGAAATAGTTATAAATTTTAAAAAGTGTTTTAATTCTATATAATTCATATATAATTTACAGACCTAGAAGATGGAGAATTGAATGGGAAAAGGAAAATTTAAAGATGAACTATCTGCTATTTTACATATTTTTTAACTGGGGGAAAGGAAAAAAAAAAAAAGAAAAAGAAAAAGGAAATCCCACGTGTTGAGGGATTGATTAAAAAGGTAGGGACAGGAGGCAGAGAATGGGACCCAGCAGTTGAGAATGAGACAACAAACGTTTGGCGGGTCCCGCAAGAAGAGGCCATGTGGCGGACCCCGCAGGCGGAACCACACAGAACCCAAGTTGCGAGCTCAATGATAATGGCTAGCCCACGCCGGACCCAGTGCCGCCACGTACAGCCCCACGCCATCATTCTCTTCTCTCCTACTGGGTCCCACATTCCACAATCCAATTTCCAAAACTCGGCGCCCCCCCAGCCGTCGGCTCAAGCCAACCCCCCATTATACAAATTCTCCCAATAAAAACTCTTTTACTTTATTTTAGTTTTAATTTATTCATTATAATCTTAAAATTTTCATTATCTTCCTTGCATTTTAATTAAAGTTCACCCGATGCTAAGTCTTATGATATGAAACTTTTATCTTAATAATTTGTAAGATTTTAAAGTTTTATTTTGAGTCAGAATAGTCTAATAAGGAGTAAAGACTAGAATTAATTCTATTTGATCTATGTTACTATCCTTAAAGATATAAAGATCGAATCTTCAATTTTAAGAGAAAAAGTATATATCAATTACTAAGGGACTATACTTATTTTTGTTTATGTTACTATCATTAATGCTACCATAAATAACTTATCACATTCATTTTCATTAGTGATATGGATCTACGATAGGTATAAATTAAAGAATATTCAGAATATTGAAAATTTTAAAGGTGTGTCATTATATTAAATTTAAGGTTAAAAATTAAATTAATTATGATATTAGGAAAATGTAATTTTATTCGTTGGGCATATATACCATATCTTAAGTCGATATATTATATTCTTTATGAAAATAATCAAGCATTTATTTATTTATTATTATTATTCTTTTGAAATAAAATGTGGCTTGAATAATACTAGATTTGTTTCACTTTTATTATTTTAAACAAAGTTATAAAATATAGTGTTTTTGAGATTTATCAAGAAAACTAGGGATCTATTAATTATTTTAATGAAAAATATTCAATAAATTATTTAAATAAAGTTAGGATTGAACAAATTATATACAAACGTTAAAATTATACCTTTTTCTTTTTGAGTAATGAAGATTGAATCTTCAATCTTGAAATACGGTGGTAGGTAAATTATAATCTACTCGATTATATTTAGATTGAACTATTGTGAATAACTTAAAATTAGTGTTTCTCATGTTTAAGTAATATTTAAAAATCCAAAACAAAATAAATCAAAAGAAAATGAAATTCTACTTAAAAAAAATGAAAAATGAAAAATTCCAAAATTAGTCTTCAGAGACATATTTTTACTGAATATATGTTTAAAAAATAGCTCTTCTTGATATTGTATAAGTCTTATAGAGCACATGTTACATTTCAAATTATAAAGTTATATTTTATAATTTTAAAAAATGCATTTTACTTTAGGTACAACTAATAATTGTGACTACAAAAATTAATTAACTGTGTTTCTGTTATATCAAATATTAAATTTTGGAGAAACCAATAAAAGTTTCATTATATTATTATAAACACTTTTAAAAAAATATTATATTATTATAAACCAATATTTTAAGTCAACATTATTTTCCTTGATTGGTTAAAATTTCTCTTCATGAATGGGGAGATCAATTATGAGACATCTTGAATCATATTAACTTACTCATATATGCTTCTAAACCGTTCTGTAAAATCACCTTTAATAATTTAGGATGTTACTTGGAATATCTTTTGTTTTTTAAGAATTGAACTTTATATATATAATATATATTTGCAGGATTTTGCTAGGATTTAAGATGATATATATATATATATTTTTATAACAGGATTTAAGAATGTTTTTTAGAGTGGTTTACACAATATGATATAATAAGAAAGAAATGTGGGCAAACCCATGCTTTTATTTATTTGTTTTAAATATAATTGTCAAAAGGGTCTTAATTCCTGAAATAGTAAAACTAAAACCATATCAGTAATATTCAATATGCAGCAATAGTAACACAAAAAGTGCTTACTTACATTTTTAGTAAAATGTACAAGCTTTACCTGCATAATTGGGTACTGAAAATTTCTGTCAAGTATATTTTACCAATATTATTTAAAGGTTTCATCTCTACCACTTTTTTTTTTTTTTTGAAATAAGACTAGGCCACTTATATTATTATAAATCCATTTAGGTCTCGATGTGAAACCTTAACATATGTAATTAATAATAATGAAATAAAGAACTCTATTTGCTCCAAAGTACATTAGAAAGTTGTAAAATACATGACATGCACTTGAGTAAGGTAGTGGTGAAAACTATGACAAAAAATATAGTTGACTTCATAGTTAACTGTCTCGATGCGAATATGTGAGCTTAGCTTAGCGGTAATTAACATCGAATCAAAAAGTAATTATGAGTTCAAATAATTTCTCTACTCCCACTCGTTGTACTAAATAAAAAGTCTCCATACTCAACTTAGATAATATTATGAGTTCCGACTAAGAAATCGAGCTCGTATATGATAATAAATAACATACTATTCATTAAGCATGTATGCACATTTTGAAACTTAATATCATATCAAGAGTTGAACATAAAAAAATTATATATAATTAAAAAATAAACATTATAATAAAGTAAAATGATAGTTTTAACTGAAAATGAAAATGGTTAGAGATTTTGCAGTGATGAGACATAATTGAAAGAGACCCCATTGCGTTACATTACTCATTTGAAACTAGAAAGCTGTGGGAAGACAAAGTAATCAATGAGACCACCTTAAAGCCAATGAAACTCCATAGGAACAGAACAGGCAATGCCCAATGAGCCTCTCATATATATTTCTCCCTTTGGTTGAGGCCTCACCACCGCCTTCATCATCACACCATCTCACCACAGGTTCATTGCAGTTGAGACTCGAACAAGATGGTGGGGGAAAAAATGGTAGGGACTAGGAAATGAACATTTGGGCCATTTGGGGCCACCATATTATATTCCACATTGGGAGGGGGCGTCTATTTTCTTCTCGATTATCTTTGTTAAGAATGAATAAACCACCACCCAGTCCATAAGCTTAAACTTTGGATAAATTTGATTCATTTATGAGTATCTCAACATTTTTTTATTATGTTAACCAATTATATGTTAAGTTTAGGTTTGAAAGAGTGTGTTTGAGATGCGAAGACATAGAAAGCATTTTAATACGTTTTTAAAATTTTCAGTGTCCACAGAGAAAAAATTATTGCATGAGACAAATTTTCAATAGCTATTAGATACAAATTCGAAAAATGTCTTGTGTAGTTTATTTCTCATTATTGATCCAAACTGTGTGAAACTACTCAATCGCAGCCTACATTGATTTCTTCCGAGACTGAGCTTGAGTTTTGAGATCAGTTCTAGAACTACAAAATATACTTTTAACCCACTTTTTAAAAAGAAAGTACTTGGCTTGACTTATAAACAGTACTATGAGGATTAAACCTTGTCAACTTGTTGGTTTTTTATAAAACTTCGCTGTTTTTACGTTTCTCTTTCTTAATTGTTAAATATTTAATGACGGTAAGTACAAGATTCTTCATTTCAAAAAGTTAAAAATATTTTCCCCAAAAGTCATCTTAAGCGCACCATAATTGCTATGGCAAACTAAACAACTTCGAGGCTGCAGATCACAGGTTGGCTGTTCCATTACGTCACTACAAAAGAAGAAAAGAAAGAAAAAGAAAAAACCCTAACTTTAAATAAGATGATGATGATCTGGTTTTGGTGGGAGGGAGGAGAAGGGGTTTTTAAGATTGCATATTTGGTCTGTGCCGTGAAGTCTTCTCCTGACTTCCCACAGCAGCTTCATTTTCCCTCTGTCTCTGTATTAAAACCAAAAATAC